CCTTGTTCCATTCGAAATTCAATGTGTGCATGTTGAAGTTGATAGCCTTAATTGCAGAAGGGTTTGCCTGCTTGGCTCCTTATTCCATATTCTACACCAAATGCATAAAATATGCAAATGAACTTTGCTCAAATTGTGTAAATTTGTGTAAAACTTCTTCACGTTCTTTGTGCTTTGGAACAGACAGTCTTTTGTTCCCATTATGTTCGCAGTAAGTTCTGTTTCATTTTCCAAAGCGTTCCGTTAAGTGTCATAACTGTTATACGAATCTTTGGGAGTGTTTTAATTTTAACTAAAATTTCAGTCGTCGATTGGCGTATGAATGCAGCTGATGCTATAACTTGCGGCAGTATTTAAAGGAATACGTAAAATGTGACATTGGAAAACTACGTATAAAACATTTCAAAAATATATTTTATATAATTTTAATATGAAAACTTATTTGTGCAATGCAAACATTTAAAGTTTTACATTTTTTGTAAAATATATTCGAATACTTTACTTCCTATGCCACTAAAGCTTTAAGCTATGTATACTTATGATATAATTATGTTCCTGTTAGAGCTCTTATGGAAATTTTTTTTGCCAAGTAGCAAAGAGTATAAAATTTGTTGTTCTTTATTATTGTATTACTTTTAGTTTACTTTGGCACCTTTCCTGCATATTCTGCATTCTCATGCAAATACTTTACACCGACTTTTAGCACTTGCAATAGCATCCGTTACATTCAGATCCCACTTTGCCACGCCCACTACTTTTATTGCCGCTCTGTTCATTTTTTTGGCCCGTATATTTTCTTTTCGCTCTTTGCATAATGCGGCATGTAGTGCAAATGAAAATAAAAAATACGTCTGGGAACTTTTGTTTAAATCCACAGCAGCGGCTCGCTGCTTTCCACCCCCGCCAAGGATGTTCACTTGGAGGTGGAAGCACATCGCGTTCTCGGCGCTCTCCATCTTGCTGGTCCCCAAACAATTTGTACGCCTCAGTGCGCACGCATTTCTGGGCACTTAAGTTTCTATATAAGTAGTATATACTATATAGTAGCTATAACGAGTGCGAGCCTCGAGTCAGCCCTTAATTTTTGCTCTGCTGCTCACTTTATTCCTTTTGCCATTGAACATTTTATAAATTGCGAGTGTTTTGCATTTCTCATTAGGAGGGACACGGCGCACCGTTGATGAGTACAATTAGCAATTTGCATAGTAAGAACTAAAGAAATTTCCCTTTTATACAACAGTATACGATGCTGCAACAAAGGTTGCCTAGTGGCGGGCAAAACAATTTTTATAACTAATAAGTAGCTCCCTTGGTGGTCAACTCCTGTTAACTGACTATTATGACTATCAGCGCTTAAAGTTTTGGGTTTGCCACTAATTTATGCAACTTGATTTTGCATTCCAGTAAAATGTATTCTGTTCTGTTCTGAATCATGTCGGGGCATTGAAAATTTCTGGGGGCAAAATTAATTCTGCGGCGTATCTAACAACTGCAGCTCATTATATAAACTAAGCATTAAAATTAGTTTTGGCTATTTGATTTGACATTTGATAATATGAACTTAGGTGCCAAGTGTTGTGAAACGTTGGTAATGCGTTAGCATTAGTAAAAGATTTTAGTCGGAAATCTCGCTACGATAGTTGTTGGGGCTCAGAACTAATTGACTTCGAGAATATATCTGTTGAAGTTTCTGAAGTAGATCAAGAATGTATTCAACACCGCCTTGGTGACTATTAGAAAAGAGCTGGTGCACATTGTTGACCATACGCGAACGTATACACTAAGATTCCGAAGTAGTCCGAAAGCTGTTCAATGAATAGTGTAGAATTAAATCTCTAGCAGTAAGTGGAAAATAACAATAGAAGCGTTTCTATAACTTTTTTTCCTATAGAGAAATTGAAAAAAAAAGATATGCACATATAATGCTGTTGCAAAACAGCATACTTGCATCTTGCTTAAATATTTTCTTTTAATATGTAGTTTAATTCGACGAATTGCCTGGCTCTTAAGATTAAGGAAGTGCCACTTAACATGCCAAGTACACGCTTGTGATATTGTTGTATTTATTTTATTCTTAAGCTGCCAAGTTAAATTTAAGAAGCAAGTTGACAAAAGATTTTAATAATTTATGCCCGCATCAGAGAGCAGTCGCTCGTTAAGTAGCACAATATTGTAATTATGGGAGCACAGTTGCGGGCCGAGCTGCAAATTGTGAGTTATTTTAATTTGGTAAGCGGCACGAGTGCCCTCAATGGCCCATAATTAACACGCGAGTTCATTTGCAGGAGCGCAAAATGCACAATGAGACACACTGGAGAAGCGGCTCGAGCAACAGCCGCAGGAGAAATCCAACGCTGAGGATGACAACGCGCTGCCCATGTTGCATTTTAATTATTTATTATTATTATTGTTGTTGTTGCCGTTGTTGTTATTGTGGCCCAGGCATGTGCCACCTGTAGAGAAACAAGCACAATGGAGCGTGCGAAAAAACGCAAGATGTGGAGAGAGACAGGCACTACGGAGGATTAAGTAGTTGCAATTAAATCCTTATCCGGAGTTTTTAATTCATTATACCCTATACGTAACAAAAGCAGCATAGGGTGTACTAATACCTTACTTTCCATAGTAAACAATTATGCAAAACTTTCTAGATTTGTGCGTGGCGAAATACAATAGATGCTGCAAATTGGGCTCTATAAACACAGGAGGAGGACTTGTGAGCCGGCGATGAATTGTTCTTAACATTAATAAATTGAATATGTAATAAAAAAGTTATTATATGCTAGCTACTTTTTAATATTTCATATACTTCCAATTAATTGAAAATTCGTAAGAAAGGGTAGCATATAGTTGTGCAAATGTATGATATATATATTTATATATATATATTCTCGATTTTTGTTGAAGTATCCTATAGATTTGATTGTATGCTAGAAACACGAAATTTGCTACTTAGGTTCTTTTGTAAAAGTCAATTTTTACAGCCTATAATCGGGTACAGGGTATCTACCCATCAGGCAAACCTACAGCCCTTGAGCACTCAACCTGGTTATTGTTGTTATTAAAAGTAAATTTATGATAAAGTGTTGTATGCCATTTTCATTATATCCACATCTAAAATGAAAAGCTTGATATATTTGTTATGTTTCATGTGCAAAGGATGAAAAGCTTGATAAACGTGAATTTTCCTCTCGGAAGCAACCGTCATTTTTCCGAACGTTTAATACACTTACACGGCAAAGGTGATTTCTGCTTGTAATGGACAGCTTTAAGTGGAGTTTCAACTGTTGCTACCACGTAAAAGGGCACTCAGGTATCATTTAATAAGCTTATCGAATGGTTTCACTGCGCTACCTGTGTCAGAGATGGAACTTTTACCGTTACAATTAACAATAGAATCAAAATGTCGCTCACGTAGACAACGCGACGGGGTCCTAAAACTTGAAGTGAACTTAAGTGAGTGTCCCTAAAGTCAATTTGCATGAAGTGCGGACGGGAAGTCAAAACTGTCAGGTAAATGGCCATCGCCGTCTGATAGTGGGCGTGGCTGGTTAGAAGAAGGCAAGCCAAGTCGAAATTTAATTACAACTACATATTAGTTGGCTGCATAAACAAGACGATGCAAGGGCCAAAAAAAAAATTAGAGAGAAGCTGTTTGCAATTTTGTGCAGCCAGCCAAATTGGATGGCTGGATGCCTGGCTGCCCGGATGCCTGAATCTCTACAGCCCGTGGTGGTATTTTACGTTCACGTACATATCTGCAACTGCTGCCAGTCCACTGTTGGCTGACAAACTTGGCCAATTTGATACTGCTGCTGGTGCTGCTGGTACTGGAAGCCCACAAAAACTGACGTTTATTACTTGCTCGCCGCTTTGGGCCCGTTCCTGGTCCATGTGCCAGGCAAGGGCCATAAATTATTAAATTTTAACAAGTTTTTATACAACGCCAACCTACTGTCTTGTCGTCTCATGTCTCCTGTCCGCATTCAGTTTCTTGGCAGCTTTGCATCTTGGGCGCAAATCGAGCAACTTGGTTTACTTTGTCAGCACTTGGCCAGTACGTGACCCAGCGGCAATGCTCTCGGACAGCTTCTGCCCCCTTTCTATGGCTGCCAACTTCGTCTACCCCGCCCTTCCCCATGCGACTACTTTGATAGCAATAATCATATTATTAATGGCAAATTATGAGCCCCAGAGCAACACACCGCCTTTAAGTTTTGTTTATTGTTTAAAGTTGATAGCTTCTAGGCTTGGCCTAGCCAATTATTCATGTTTAAGATATGCTTTATTTATTTATTCATTTTTTTCGTTTGACAAAACTCGGCATAAACTTGAAACAGCTTAAAACAATTTTCGTTTATGCAATTTTCCAACAAACTCAAAACAACTTTTGATGACACACAGACAAAACTGAAAATGTTCTGCTCACAGAAAGTTAAATTTCAACTTTTCTGTTTGCCCAAAAAAAAAAAGAAAACTTTTCGCTTTTGTTAGCTCTGCTATCAACTGCAACTACCTGTGGAGTGAATTTAATTTGGTTTGTTTTCACATTTAACTAGAAGCCGGTTATCGTAGTATTCTACACACGTGGCTGTCAAAACTTTTTGATTCTTTGCATAAATAGTAGAAATCGATATTTGTTATGGAACATTCTGAAACCTCTATACATACGACTGTTTATCTATCTAGCTTCCTTGGAATAAATGGGCTTTAAAGATCTTTATGAAGAATCATTTGGGACGTGTTTAAATTTTTTTGCAGAGGCCAATCCACCTCAATGGAAAATAAATTGGTGAATTGGCCGAAAATTGTAAACCCCTTTGGGTACTGTCAGATCTACAACAAACTCATTTTCAGAGATCCTTGTACAAATTAATTTAATACGTCTGACAATTCGACATTGAGCTGATATTATCCAATTTTGTCCGGTCGTATTGTCGTTTAACAATAACACAAAACCAAAAATGGTTCAAATCAAACAACTAATTATAATAATTTGTTGATATTTCCTCTTTCGTTAATCTTAAAATATAAACTTAAACAAATTTCGATTCTGTAATTTCGATCTCACAAGTATTTACCAATATTAAAATAAACACTATCCATCCATCTTTGAAATAAAGTCGCAAACGGCATTAGTAAACTCCGAGCACTTGGCTTTGCCGCCAGTATCCTTGGTCCGAATATCGGTATCCTTGTAAACCTGCTGAACAGCACACTCAATCTTAGAGGCCTGCGAGTCCAATTTCAAATGTCTAAGCATTAGCGCCGTAGAGAGCAGTATTCCGGTCGGATTTATTATATCCTTGCCGGCCAATTCCAAATTGGTTTTAACGAGCGTATCGTATAGGAGACCATTTTTGCTCACATAATAGCCAGGGCACAGTCCCTTACCGCCCATTATACTGGACGCCATCATGACAAGAACATCGCCGTACATGCTGGAGGAGACGATGATATCAATCAGTTCGGGGTTCATAACTAGATTCAAGCAAGCTGTGTCCATATATCTCTCCTCAAACTTTATTTTTTCCAAGTGATTGGTGGCTTCGTTGCGCATGGACTTCAGAAAGTTGCCATCAGTTAGCTGCATTATGTTGGCCTTGTGCGCTACTGTGACCTTTTTACGCTCATTCTTCAGGGCAAAATTGAACACAAAGCGAGAAATACGATCGGCGCCCGCCTCCGTGCTCACCTTGATGGATTGTAGGATCCCCGGCCCGACACTGTGCTCAATGCCGGAGTATTCGCCCTCCATCACATCGCGTATAACGACACAGTCGAGCATGCCATATGGCGTCTTGTGACCCTCTATGTTGCGACAGAAGGCCACAAAGGCGTAAAGGTCGAATGCCTTGCGTAGCTGCTTTAGATGTTGTCCGCTTGCGATGGGCCCCTTGATGCCCACCTTGTTGCATTTAAGCGACTCCAGCAGATCAGGGTTAAGCTTATTGCTGTCGGGCGACTTGTAGCTAGCAATGGTATCCCATTCGATCGCCACCTTGGCGGCTTCGCAGACCTGCTTCATTGACCCGATCAGCTCACAGCCCACACCATCGCCCTCCAGCAGCGTGACCTTCTTCAATTCTTTCTTCTCATCTGTGTCCTTTTTGCTTTCCGGGCTGCAGATGCTACTTGCCTTCAGATCGGCACATCTCTTGGACTCTTCGCAGCCCTTTTTGCTGCAGAAACGAAGACATTGACTTAAATTAATCCTCTTGTAACGAAAATTTCGTATGGTGTTCATTTTTAAATTTAGTCTGAGATACTAATCTGACATCGAAATATTTTGATTAAATTATTTGTATTATTTAGCTGCCTGTAAATACTTGCGCAATTACTTTAGTTGGGCAGTTTCGAAGATTTTTCTTCCAGCTACTTTCCATTTAATATGCCACTCCACAAGAGCTGAGACACCTGCGTAAAATGCAAATTAACAAACACAGTCGTGTCGCAAATGTTTCTGGCGAGGCGTGTGAATATGACAAATGACATGTCAACAGTTTCATGCTCCCGTCTGTAAAAGACAAATAGCTGTGGGCGTGGCTGTTATGCTTAACTGCCCAGTGATTTTTCAAACAACACGAAGTAAGTGACCAAGTCATTAGCACTGATGAGCATTACGAGCAGGCAACAGCCCCAGAACGACATAAATATGCTAGTATATATGCTGAGGTATTGGGCCAGTATCATAAATAAATTTTTGGTACTTTCGTACTGAGGTGTAAGGTAGCTGGGCGTGTAATTTGGGGTATGTTTATGAGTATTTGATGTGCTTAAGTATTATGTGCTTATAAGTGTGGTCAAGCACGAACCTGATGTCCTTATGGCAAGCCGAAATGAATATAAATGATTTTTGTTTACTTCATGATTATTTTTCATTTATTTTAATTTCTGATTAAAGATAAGGAAACACAGAGCTGGGGTATTCACTGTCATTCAGAATATGAAACAAGTAAGATTACTCCAGTTTGGTGTGCCCGACTAGCAGATACCCTGAACTTTCTTCTACCAACACAACATGATGCTTGTCAAATAAATTTAAAATATGACGGATACTTGATCTAAATATACTATTCTAAAAACTACATGCCAAATTTTGTGACTCTAGTCGTTAAAACCAAAGAGATTTGCTCAAAAAAAAAGGATTTCACTATCGATTTTTATCGATTGCTTGGAAACGGGGCAAGTTATCGATTATCAGAAGGTTCTGGAATCCTTGCCTTCGTACATACGGACAGAGGGAAGAACTTGGCTAGATCGACTCGGCTACTGATGCTGATCAAGAATATATACACTTTAGGGGGTCGGATATGCTTCCTTTTGCCTGTTACACACATTTGCACAAATTCATTATACCCTTTTTACCCATTTTTAGTGGGTAAAAGCAAATACAAATAATAGTGACATGTCATATTTTACTGTACTAGTTAGTTTAGTTGGACTACAGCACATCGATTTTTTGTATAAGCAGTTTAATTTAATATTTCTCATGAAGTTTGTTGGTAAGCTTTTCAGCTACAACGAAAAATATTATCCTCTTAGAGCCTCCTAAATTATTTATTGCCTAACTGCGCGCACTTATCAATAACTCCATTTAGCTGGAAACACTCAGATTGACTCGCAGCAGACAGTTGCAAAAACTCGCAGATGTCCTGCTGCTGCTTTTGTTACTTTACTACCATATCCTTTTTTATGATCCGCTTTCGTATCGCAGTAAGTTTTTAACATTTGCCGCTTCTGCACGTGCTCGTTAACCTGACAAAGTACAGTTAACTGACAAAGTCGCGCTGTAAATATCCCAAAATTTAGAAAAACTTTAGGGCAAATGTCGCATACAATGTCGAAAACTCGTTGATACATAACTGAAATTTTTTAAACGCTTTTGTCTAATGTCAAAATTGAAGCTTTGATGCGGAATACTTTTATATTTTAATGAGCGGATACTTATCTTGCGGCTTCAAGATTCCTACCACAGAACTAACATGCACGGGCAAGCCCTGACAGTACCTGCTGTATTTATATATGATTGCATGTATGTACGTATACATATGTAATTCACGTTAGTATAATAATGGAGGAGCCGGCTTCAACGGCGGCATTAACATTGAACGAGCTCTCAGGTTCACAAATAGAAGATGAGGCGGCTTTACTATAGGAGGAGACGGCATCTTGAGAAAAAGAGAAGGTGGCAACGTGAACATCGGCGGATTCAACTATTGTCAGTGGCTATGACCTTAACGGAGGTCATTGAAAATACTAGTATTTATTATAAATATAACTATGTTCTTTTAAATTTAAAATAAAAGTAATAACTATTACAGTCGTATGTATGTGTGTTGGTTTGCCAAAAAACATTTTTATAATTATCGCCGTTTCCACTAATTCAATTTTCACTGCAGTTACCTGTAAGGAGTTGCCCCTGCCAGGAAAGAAAATTCATTTGCGGCGGTTTTACATTTCCCGCAGAATCGAAGTTTTTTCGGTGATAAATTTGATTGGATACATTTTTTATGTTTTAAGAAAATTACAGTTTAGCCTCAACAACTGTGTCAACTTCAACAAGTGGTAAAATACATTTTTTATGTTTTAAGAAAATTACAGTTTAGCCTCAACAACTGTGTCAACTTCAACAAGTGGTAAAAGAAGGAATAAGAAATCAGTTCCCATATAAATTGTGTGCTCAAGTGCAAACATCCTTTCATGTGTGTTGTCAAAGGACATTTTAGTTTAATAAATGTGAATCACTTTTAAATCTGAATGGAAAACCATTTAGTTTTGAGATTCACTGAAGCGTGGCTGGTATTATTCATGACTATGTTTTACAAGATGCCTCTATTCAGAGGTAATTCCCCTTAACTAACATCGGCAATGTTAACAATATTAACAGTTGAACTACATCATGTGAACAAGATTTTTGAATTAGAATATCACTCATAATCCAAGTTAAATGAGTAATTGGGTTAGTGGGGAATTGAAAAGTGCAGTGAAATAAATAGTCAATGTTGAATTCTTGAAATTGGGTTATTTATATTATTACCAATGTATTTTTACCAATGTATTAGCACGTAAAATCTAAATACCCTTCTTCTAAGAACGGTATTTTATATATTTCACCTCAATTTTTATAATGTATTATAGAATAAATGCATATGAATATTTTCTTACTAATTCAAACGAATATTTAGGTATTATTTTATTTCAACTTTTAAGAGCGTATAAAAAAGCTTAAGCAAACCTTACGCAGGTTTTTGCTGGCTTGTTTATGAAGCACGGAAGAGTCTAGGGTTGTGGCCACGGGCAAGGCCGGGGAATACCCGCTAGGTTATAAATATATACTTGTATATATGTATATAGAGAGCTGCGTTTCAATACTACCCGACAGTTGTAACAAAAAATTACCGTTGCATATTTGATTGTCTCGTTCAATATTTGTATATTTTTCCATTTCCTCTTTTTTGACCCTTGTGCCGTTACCAATTTTCCACATTCCACACTCCTCGTCAGTGGGTTTCTTTACCTTTTGCTGGCTTCCGCATCGTTTGGCATCTGCTGCTGATGCAGGTCGAGAAGCTTCAATTGAAGCCTGACCCGACGCGTTATCGACTCCAATTTGATGCCGATGCCCCGGCGGCTAAGAAGAAGATGCGTTTGGGGGTCTACATTAATGCAAACAGTTCCCTTACTTCCCAACCTCCCAACTGCCGGTGAATTTGCATTTCTATGGAGAGCTCTTTTTCTGCTGCAGCTGATGGAATGTTGTTTGAGTTGTTGCTTTTCCTGGTTCTTTTTCTCTCTCTCGGTATTCGGCATTTAACATTCACATCATTTCCATGCCGAAGCGTGTGAACGGCTGCACTTGCTCTGCCTGCCCGCCGTCTGATGAATCCTTGCCAAAAACCACGGTTCATCCTCAGCTGGCACACAAATGGCGTTGTGACATAAAAATAACAACGATGAATGTCTACCATCGATTGTACTGAACGGAAGGATACTCTGTATCAGGACCTTAAATATCTTAAGGCTTTTGTGGCTTGTGCATACTTTCGATCTCTTATCTGGGTTGTCTAAAAATATTTTATTTAGTTTCTTGTTTTTCTTTCCATTTTTCACATTTTAAAGATAGCTAAGTTTTTAAATTTGGCTTCAAGTTAGTTTTTATAAAATTTAAATATTACAACACGCTAACCTTTATTTAAGGCCAGTTCTTTGGACACAGGGTATAAAAACAAAGACCATGGCGTCTCCTGTTCCCAGCTGCCCAATATTTTGTTATTTATAGCAATTTGTTGAACCCTAAGCCGGAACGAAAAAAATTTAGATAGAGAGCAAAGGATGCAAATGGTCGCACTCAGTACAGTTGGTGATATCTTTTTTTGTTAAGGACCGCATCTGAATGATTAATTACAAGCGATTTGTGCTGAATGGCAAAATGTTTACCGTTATTTGTTTACTTGTATATTGCTGTGGTTTATTTTTCATAGAGATATATATTTATATTGGATCGTATTGGCAGTACATACATGCGTGTGTGTGTGTATGAGCTGAGCATATGTAAACACTCGAATTTGTATGCTTAAATTTAGTTTAAATATTGATGGCATAAACATGGGGATTAGGTGTACAAAGTCGCGTACAAAGTCGAAAATAATTTATTTTATAATGTTGTAAACTGCTTTGTGCGATAATTCAAAGTAATATTCCTGGAGTTAGGGTTGCGGTTTGCCCCGATCCCCAGTTAATTTTGCTCTTGCTTGTCTTTTACATAAGTTAAGCAAATATTTATTCAATTTTATTCAAAGCTTGTTATTTTTGCAATATGCGTATACTTACTGCTTTGATTGCTTATTGTATTTACATATTTAATATTAAACTAACATCTGGTTTGTGGTATTCTTTACATTAAGCTATAGAAGCTATTTAATTGAAATCAAACGTTTTAGAGTTGATAATTTTATAAGCTGCAATCGTAGTATTCGAGCTTTGATAAATTTGTCGCTGGGCTTTTTTTATTCTATTAAAACTTTTTTACTTGAACTGGTCGGGGCAATGAATTTCTAATGCTATAATAAAAACACAATTTATTATGTAATAAATTGTGCACATCTATTGAATAGATTCTATTCCATTTGAATCAACATGTTAAATTATTAACTTAATTAATCTCGCCATGCTTAAATATCTGATTTACTTTTTATTTAAACAACACTTTTCCATTTTGCCAGAAATCTTTTTATAAAAAAACACCTGTATATATATATATTCATATATATTTTAGCTACAG